AAGACAGGGCCAAGAAATAACGACACACAATATTCCAACAAGGCAAAGCAAGCCTCCTGGCACATGCACCGATTCCATCGTCATAAATAAATGTACACGATAAGTTTTAAAACCAATAAGCAATACTTTTCACCATGGTGAACTCATCATTAACAAATTACAGCAATTAGGCACACGTGCACATAAGATGCATCACCTAAGAAACTGATTCCTTTTATGCTCAGGGATAACGAAGCCATGCCTACGCACACGTCCCCTCTGCTGATAATTGTGTAAGCTGCAACAACAAGCCGTGCCAACCCCAGGGGTGAAAGAGCCGAAATAGAATTTGGAGCAATTTTCGGAGCAGTAGAATCTTACTTTTGGAGCACTAAAATGCAAATTTGAAGCAGGTTACGAAAATAAAACATCTATAAAATTTTATCACAAAAGACCACATTTGGAGCAAAGAAGGCTTACATTAAAAAAAAAGTATTTCAAGCCATTAAACATCACCTAAATCATGCAGGGTAAACATGAGCACCGCTGTTTCAATAAAACTAGTATTTCGATCTACCCCACTGAGCAAACAATGATAAAGTCGACATTAGCACTTGCCGTGTCTGTGAAATCTTTTCACAAAATCTGTGAATTAAAATGTAGATCTGCCAACCTAGCGACCTTACCTTGAAATTCAAGGAAATCGAGAAACTGAGAAATAGGGGTGGCGAAAAAAAAAAAAAAGCTTGCACGGTTTTCATTTTTTTTTTAAGGCAGTAGGAGTGTCATACACTGCTACGAATGATTGCCAGTAACTGTTTCAGACATCAGCGATCATAGTAGTACTCACAATTATGAGGCAGTATACACGCATGAGTAATTGAACGAAATTTGCTGTCCCGTGAGTAATGCTAACAGCCCCTTCCAAATCATAATACACTTCTCTGCAAGGCACCGATGTATTGTGACGAAGCTGGTTTAAGCAGTGTTCCACACGGGTCAGAACAAGGCCAAGAAATTTTCATGCACCGCTACATCCCCCTTCCCCCTCTTTTTTAATGATAGGTGTTATGCTTAGGGCACAACATTTGGGCTCGCTTGCAAGGCCCGTTCTACTAGATAAAGTAACCACGGCACATGCCCGTTGATCCGGCGACAGCATCTAACAGAACTTCAAGACAGAAAAATAGTTTATGTGTCGCTGCTATGGCAACTTACAGCACACAGACTCTGTTCACGCAGAAAATGCAGTATACGCACCCAGCTCTAGTTTCTAACATGCCACAGCCACTTTTGCTGACTATAAACTTCGTATTTCCTGCGAAGCGTTTATGGCTACAGCAACACATGTTTGTCTTAAAGTTCCTGCCGATAGGCAACTTCCTGCCGATAGGCAACTGTTGTGGTCAGTGAACCAATGGGCGCACGGCTTTGTTTCTTTTTCTTTATCTGGTCGATTGCATCTCACGAGTTCCCTGACCTAATAGAATTAAGGCTAGCAAGGTTAGGTTACCGTGGTCTAAGGTTAGAGTCTGCACGCTTGGATTGATTGATTGATGACTAATTGCAGGTGGACAATGTGGCCTCCATTTCTCGCTGATATCAGCGCAACTGAGAAAATTTTGAGGATAGTCTGGCATTTCAGCGCAGCATGGCGCAATTTCAGCAAATTTCATGGTTTTGGCACAGCTCGGCGCAAAAATGGGGAATGGTACCAAATTGGCACATCTGTTGCACCCCTGCAACCCTTAACTTTATTGCAAAGTGAAAGTTAGCTTGAATGAACATGACAGTACCTCAGAAGTTCTTTTATGTATAGTGTAAATTTTTATGAAAGGGAACACGCTAGTGCATAGCCTGCGCTCTGTCGTAGCTGCCTGCAGCAACATCAACCGCCGGATAAAGAAAGTGTGTCCGCTTTCCGTGTCATCTATTAACAAACGAAGCCATATGTCATGACCCTTGGACAAGCACTGCTAAATTGTGCTCCCGCTCTGGTCTCGCAACAATCGATGCCACCAAAAGCAGACGCGCTTTCTTTATCTGTCGGCTGATGATGTTGCAGGTAGCCGCAGCAGAACGCAGGCCACGCGCCTGCGCGTTCCCTTTTATAAAAATTGGTACTGTAAAAGTAAGTTCATGAGAGCGAGGTGTGCAGGGGTGGGCAAAAGTTACGAGGCTGCCTTCCCATGAAATCCTACAGCAGCATGGCCTGAAGACCACCCCTGTACATTTCAAGCTTGAAATTCCGGTGGATGGATTCAGAAAGGCGACAGAGCAGATGCGAGTCCTATGTGCTTGTGAGCCTTGAATCAGTAAATAAAAAGAAAAAGTGAACGACATTGGGCCTGTTGGTTTAGTATAACAAATGCAAAAAACTAGTGCTTAAAAGACGGGGACAAGAAAGAATGACACACGATGCTCTACTAACAACAATTTTTGTCGCATGTTCTTTTCCACAGTGCAGTTCTTCAGACACATATGTGTCTTTTCTGAATTAAATATCAGCTGAAAATCAGTGTTTGTCCTTGTCAGCTGTCTTTTCGTCCTTTCGTATTTTTCCCACACTCTTTCAATTTTCTTGACAACAAACTAACAACTCACCCAAAGACTCATGTTTATTGGTTCTATCTGCATTTTACCTGCTTAAGTGGGGATGAATAGCACAGAAAAGTGTGCAACTACTACTGCCCATCGCTCTATTAGTTAAAAGTATACTCTAAAAATTTTGCAATGTGCTTGAACGGAGACTTTACTAGATGTTTTGTGAATTTGGCGAGAAAATACAAAGCCATTCTAAAAATAATAAAAAATAAATTATTTCATTATTTTCATTTTTGAAGCAAGATTTGTGACATGGATTTTGCTTGTAAAATGGTGAAATCTATTCTGCTTATTACGTGTGCCCAGGGCATCCTTCTGAACCAAATACAGTCAAATCTTGATAATTTGAACTCGAAGGAGCCCGAAAACTTGTTCGAATTAAAAGAAGTTTGAATTAATGAAAGCTAAGTAAACAGAGCACTCCCCTTGCAGTGGCGCATGTGCATTGAGCTAACACACGAGGGGGAAGTTTCAGAAAACTTACATTTATTCATAAATCACAGGATTCGTCATTAATTGAAGTAATCCGTGATGCGCATCTACACACGTTTGCTTTGCAGCGAGTCAATCATTTTCGCACGCAGCTTGCAAAGCATTTCTACTTCGGCTTCAGCATTCTCCTGGCGAGAGAAGTTGCACACGGCAATGTCCAGTGCCAACACACTCTAAAGACGACAACAACGACTGCATCTCCGCTACTACCCTCTGGGCGAAAGCCCCAGCGTGGCTAGCACGTGACAAGAAAGGAGGAGCGTCTCCATGCGGAGAGAAGCAGATTGGCGTTTGAGATAAACCAACACTCCACAGCAGCTTTTTTTTTCTCTCTTCACGCACGCCGTTGAAAGGAGAAAGGTTACATGGCAGAGACAAAAAAGGGGAAGCATAGCACAGGCGTGTGAGAGAGAACCACACTCCGTGACAGCTTTTTTTTTTTTTTATCTCTCTCTTTGCGCACGGCGTTGGAAGGAGAAGGGTCTTTACGTGGCAGGGGTGGAAAAGAAAGAAGCGTGGTACAGGCATGTCGCAGAACGGCATTTGAGAGAGAGCGAAAATTCCACTGCAGCCTTTTCTTTCCTTTTCTTTTTCTTTTTCGCGCAGGGTTGAAACCTCTCGGAGGTGCCGCCGCAAGATTGGGCGGGATGCTGAGAGCATTTTCGGAGCACCGTATGTTCGAATTGACCGTCGCAAGTGCTTGCACGTTCAAATTATCGGGCGTTTTCGCCCATTGAAATACACATAGCTTTGATGGAACCTCATTGTGAGCTTGAATTAACAGGAAGTTCGAATTAAGCGTGTTTAAATTAATGAGATTCGACTGTAATAAATGCAGGCATGACCATTTTTCAGTTAAAAATATAGGTAAATGTCTGATGACTAGAATTTTAGGGCTTTTTTTCTTGAAGAACAAATTCCGTAAAAAATTTAATTATGGTGGCTACAACATTTTTTTTGCTTCAGAAAAGGAAAATGGTATTCAGAAAGGAGTGACAAAAGTTTGTATTTCACAGCATCAGTGGTTTCAGAGAAAATGTTTCAAATGTTTCTTTTCTGACAAAGAGTAGTGTTTAGAAAAAACTCCATTTAAAGTTCGATTTGCCTGGTAGGAGTGCCTGGGGCCATTTCCAAATGATTTTCACGCGCATAAAACTTTCCACTTCATGGAATCCCTTGTCAGTAATGCTGGAATATCGTGCCATGAAAATTCAAATATTGCATTTTCAGTCGTCTTTGCCTTCCATACCGCCCCCCCCCCCCCTTCCCGGACATTCATTACTGCATCTTTTGGTTTCACCTACATACATATTACGGTGGCAAGATAGCGGTATACATTACACAATGCAATTGTCACATTGGACGAACCTATCTTTATGCTTGGTGGTGCACATTTTTTTTTTAATTTTTGCGAGCTAAAAGAAGAACATTTACATTAGCTCACTTTCCAATTCACTCAACATAGTGGCTAATTCGCGGCAAGTATGGGATTACTGAGACTTTTTGCTCTCACATTTTTATTGACTCACTGGAAATTGCAGTACCACAATTAGTATCTCTATAGATTTCAGTGTTTTTTTCTGGCATGATAAATCAGACACTGGGTCCACTCCCTGAGATGTACATTATGTCTTTAGTAAAGCCAGCCATGTTAACTGTAAACAATCATTAGTATTGCATGCCGAAATGCAAATTCTGTCAATTGCATTGTATTTTGGTTGGGGAGTGTATGTTTTCTTCAACACACATATTGCTGTAAGCAGGAAAATAAAGCCAGTGGTAAGTTGAGTGCTGTGTGTCTTTCCTTTGTCATTGTCATTCCTTCTGCTGTCCAAAAAAACTAAATTAACCCAAATTTGCATAAATTTCAAGCCATATAGAAGCATTTACAAGCACAACCAAAATGCAGACAAAGGAATACTAGCCAAGTTGATGAGAGGCCCCCCTGAGTTGCCGAAGTTGATAGCGGCATCCGTCTGGATGTAGTCCATCTCGTTGTGAATGCCAAGCTCCTTACTTGAACGATGCACGGAGCTGACTACCCCAGCTGTGATGGTGTTGTTGAGGGCCAGCGGACTTCCCATGGCAACGACCCACTCGCCGGGTCGAAGCTGGTCCGTGCGAGTAAGTGGTAGCGTAGGCAGACCTTTCTGCAGAAATCAACAAAGAGAGGTCGATGGGTTCTGTCTTGGCCCAGAGATTCAACACAAGCTTTATTGCATCGCAAAGAGCAGTCGTGAGCTGAAACATAAGGAGATTGTTCTAAAAGAACGAAATGCCATCACAGACACAAGAAACAAAAAACACGGCAAAAGCCGACTGAAACCTGAAGATGCGCATGAGAGCGGAAAAGTAAGAAGGCACCAAAACTTATCTGTGCATGCTCATGCCATGGATAAACCTATCAATCTAGCATGTGCTACCACTTTTAACAATATGCCATGCCTCAATCATTAGACGTGTTTTTTCATTTCAGTGTGGGTACAAAACTGTGCATTTACTGAACTTCGGTGTGCATCTATTCACTTTGGAGGCAATGTAAAGACAGATTAGAAGGTGATCCTATGGTAAGGGACCTCTTGTGTTCCAATCATCTCTGTATCTGTATCGCCATCCCACTCTTGCTCTGCACGGCATGACTTGGCATTCAGAAGTAAGCTTATGTGAATATAACTTTCTTTATACAAAGCCAAACTGAGGTGAATGGCAATCGGTACCAAACAATTTTGAAGCAATATCGAGTCGTAATAGATAGCAGCATGGGATTGAGAAAGGCGGGAGCAGAAGGAGACATTTTCTCCCCACAAACACAAGCCTAGTCCCTCCCACCACCAATGAGGAGGCTTCTTTGAATAGCTAAAGTCCTTCGACAAACGAAACAAAATTTTTTGGAAGCTTGTCCCTCCAGTGATTTTTTTTCATGGGCATTTGCCCGTTTTGTTTGACGCATATTCCAAGCTCAAGTGGTTCACAAGGAGAGAAAGGATTGCCCTTTATTTTGTAGTCTTTACCGAATTTAAATATTCCTCTTCTTCTCTTGTGCCCATAAAATCCTAATAAGGTGCAGCTGTGTGGTGCAGTTTCAGGCATGATTGATGCACAGCTAGTGGGACACATGCATGCCCAAGTGCATCTATCGCCAAGTCTACTCACCTCGTGTTACTACTCAATGCAGGGGAAAAAAATGCTCCAAATGGTGCAGCGCAAGGCGTGTCAGCCAATAAGAGAGCAGTCATGTGGCGTTCTAATGCTACCAGATGGCCAAGCTTTCCAAGCATCTCTGTACAACTAGAGTGGCTAGAAAAGTTTACCTCGGGTACAGGGTTGGGCTGAAAGCATTGCGATACAGCCTGCAGATAGCATAACAGCCGGCACGTGAACTTTGTTCATAGGTGCAATTGCATGGGCTGCTGCACTTTTCAGTGAAACTAAGCTTCGTGGTTGTGGTACAAGCTTGTGTTCACCAAATTCTATGCAACATACTGTGAGAGAAGCAACAAAAAAAAACATGCGGGACTGTGCCACTTGTTTAGCTTTTGCAAGCCACATGCAACGACACGCCACATGCAAGCCACAGTCCATTGTGCACTGAGTGCAGAACTAATCGAGCTGCAAGAGTGATAAAATACAAAGTGCACAGTTTTTTTTTTTTTTTTTTTTTTATAAATACCGTAACGATTACAAATGCCAACATACATAATATAGCCTCTGAGCTCTCCCAGAATTCTTACTTCATACCTCGCATTTTCAGATAACCTGGTTTCGAAGCAACACATGTTGTTCTTCAGAAGCTTTGGGAAAAGTGTAGCCTATACTAATGAGTGCATAAACTCTATATCGTCCCCAGAAAGCATTCACCTAAGCTTGGTGTAGCTGAACTGTCCACTTCACAGCCAAAAATCAATATGTTGCATCAAACTATGCCATAAATACTTGGTTCTTTCCGATTTATACAGCACAAAACCAACTTAGGGTATGCTGTGCCAATTACGGGACACGTGGGAAATCAACGCTAGGAGCAGAACAAGATGCAGTATTCATAGCATGTTCAGAAAGCCAGCCTCATAAAAATTTCACATCTGCAGGGGTGCAACAGCCAAAATAGAATGTGGAGCAATTTTCGGAGCAGCAAAATGTTCCTTTTGGAGCAAAAAGGCCAAAATTTGGAAGAGGTAACAGAAAAAAGGACATTAATTTTTTATCACGAAAGACCGAATTTGGAGCAGTATAAAACAGAAGGCCTAAATTTAGAAAAAAAAAAACTAGACGACTTGACCTAAATGATGAAGAGTGAAAATGAACACTGCTTTTCAACTAAAGGAGTGTTTGAAACCACCCCAGTAAGCAAACAATGCTGAAGTTTACATTAGCATTTGCCACTCCCCTCAAGTCCTTTGACAAACTGCAAATTCAAATGTGGCTCTCCCAAGCTAACAACTGTGAAATACGGGAGAATCGCTAAACCGAGAAGTAGAGGTGGCGAAAAAAAAAAATTACTGGGCAGCAGAAATGTCATTCAATGCTCAAAATGATTGCCAGTAACTTTTCTTAGACGTGAGTGATCTTACAGCCCCTTTAATTATGCAGTGCGTACATGCATGAATAATTGGACAAAATGTGCTGTGTCCTATGACTCATGCTAACAGCCCCTTCCAAATCATCACGCGCTTATCCACAGGGCAGTGGTGTACTGTGGCGAATGTAGCTTAAACTGGGTGCTGCGCGGCTTAGAACAAGGATTTCGATCAGCAACTCCTCCCCCCACCCTATTCCCCTAATTTTTTTAATTTTTTTTCATTCCCAGTGGCGGTTAGGTTTAGGGCATAACTTTTTAGCTGACTTGCAAGGCGTGTTTGATGAGATATAGAAATGACGGCATGAGCCCATTGGCTCAGCGAAGGCACCGGATATCTATCGGCGGGACGCAATTTCAAGACAGAAAAATGTTCTATGTGCCGTTTTTGTGACAACCAACATGGTGGCTGGCAACGCCTGCGTTCGTAGCACGTCAAGTTTGTTTGGGTGTGGAAAACACGGGATGCGTTTTAAGGTTTACATCCTAGCATGCAATTACCGCGTTTACTGAGAAGGAAATTCATATCTCGCGCGAAGGGTTGCTGGCTATGGCCACGCATTTTTGTCTTGAAGTTATGACACCACGCTGATAGGTATCCGCTGTGGTCAGCAGACCGATGGGCGGGTGGAATTGTTACTTTATCTGGCCGATCGCGTCTCGCAAGTGTCTTCGCCTAAGCAGTATATATATATTACACCGTTTTTTAAGGTTAGTGTTTGCGCGCTTGGATAGATTATAGAAATTGCAGGTGGCCAATGTGGTCTCCATTTCTTTCTCAAATTAGCACACCTGAGGCTGCTCGGGCATTTTAGACCAGCGCGGCGCAATTTCCGCCAATTTTATGGTTTTGGCACAGCTCGGTGCAACAATGAAGAATTGTATCAAATTGACACAACTGATGCAGCTATTGCAGCGCTGAATCTGTGATAAATCAAGGCACAATTAAGTGAGCTTCATGCAGTCACGGTAAGTCCTTCCCTAAAACCAATTGAAAAGGTATTGAGAGGCACAAACACAGATTGCATAGTTCATTCTGAAAAGTATTCGTACTCATTTATGTGCAATATCTAATTAAAACTCATATTCAAGAAACGATGCCACAAAGTAAAATGAAATAGCTGAGTGCACACAAAAAGCATAGAATCCAAGCTGAAATTTCATTTTAAAGCATCTATTCAAATATTCTATGCATAAATTGAAATAAAAGTTCAGTTGAAAGTAGGCACAATTCGGTTCATCTGTTCTCAGCGATTTCGTTTTATTTCACATTTCTTCTTTCAAATGCAATTTTGAGGGTCAGTGGTGAATGCATATCCCCTTCAGACATGAATTATGATGCACTGTTCGTAAATGTCTAAATTTAACACGACATAATACTCAGGCGAGGTCTTCTGATTTGGAGCAATTTTTTTAAGCAGCGAAATTTTCATTTTGGAGCACTTAGGAGTTGCAAAAGTTTCTATTTTGGAGCACATTGGAGCAGCAAAATTTTTCATTTCGAAGCAATCTGGAGCATTTAACTTCACATCCGGGAGGAGAAGCAAGTTGAATTTACATTCAAGGTCATAAATAACTATTTTGGGGCTCTTGTCTCCTGTAAAAAGCTAGAAATATTTCCGTTCATTTCGAAGCTCATGAAGCCAGTCATTTTAGCAGAACTCCTTATTTCGTTGATGATGCAAAAATATTGAAATCATTACGTTGGCCATTCTCAAAAAAACTTGTTCAGTGAGTTCAGTGACTATTTTAGTAGAAAATAAACAGAATACTGGTTGAATAAAATGGTACTTCATGAAATAACATCCTTTACACCTACGTGGTTATCAGTATATATGGTAGGCAATCGCTGTGACGTACAACACCAGGAACACACACACAGTAGCAGCTGAATTTCCCTTAGACGACTCCAAGAATATATAAAGGTTATTTTTATTCCCAACTGATTATACTGCTGGGCTTAACATGATGACATTTAGCTAGTCTCATAAAGCCAACCTCCTCCGGCACTCATCTCTCTGTGCTGAAACTACATGATTTAACAAACTTTGTTTTTCTTTAGCAGCAATGTTTTATGTGGCTAGGGCGTTTTGTCTATACCCCAAGGTCCCCTGTAGTGTTCTAGAAAGCAGTGCATGAAGAAAAAAGAACCTCACAGGGTACCTTATGCATACGCCCAAGACGACTAGAAGGCGAGAGCCATTTTGTTCGAAGACATTCTCGACGGGTCTTCGCAATCGCCAAGGGTGTAGGTAAAATTTTTTTTATTTAGGGGGGGAAGCGCACATTGATCAGAAAGGGGGACATGCAAATGGTAATATTGAGCTATATAAATGCCATGGTAAAAAATGTTTCGATGGTGGGGGAGATGCCACTGGCCGTCATATTTTGTGTAATATCCCAATCGATAACATCCCCCCACCTCCCGCATCGTGCGTTTTACAAGCGGGAAAAAGCGCGCAAGGGGGGGTGATGGACACAGCTAAAGCAGAAATAAAAAAGTCGCAGTTTGATCGCAAGGGTGAAGCAATGAATACGACAGCAACAACTTGAAATGTAACGCTGAGAACGGCAATC